TATAAAAACTGATAATATAATAAAGATAAATAAAATATTTACAGAATTTTAAGACGAATAGGAAGAAGGTTTTTAATATAGTACCAGGAGTTTTTAAAAGGCAGTGTACTTACCAGCATGAATGTTATCTTTAAATGCCACATCATGGAGTTGAAATATTAAGTGGTGGCTAAATTTTTCATCGGTGCTAGAATCCAGGTTGAAAACATCTTCAGCAGAACAACTGACACTGTATAGTTCTTGAAGTGCTTTACAAACATGCTAAAAACCCAAGTAAAGTATAAATGACTCATGTTTTTGTTTTTAAACTTTTTCTAAGAAAAAAATTAAATACCTTGGTGAAAATGGGTTTAAAGTAAATAGATAATTTTTTATTTATGATCAGAATATTTACAATATAACAGTCCCATAAACATTTATCTTTTTTAAAAAAAAAAAAAACCCTAATCTCAGCATTAAAGAAGCTTCTCAGAGGTCAAACTATTTTTATACACACAAAATATTTTAAGCATCTTTTTAAAATATTATCTATGAGTTAAAAAATCACTAATTCAATTTTTTATAGTTCTTACTACGAGAAAGTATCTCATTCGTACTGAGCTTGAATCCCTCTCTAAATATTCAGCCACCGGGCCTAGGTGACGCTGATATTGATGGAAGTCAGGCAGGGTTCAGAGGAAGCAAGCACACAGGCAGGACCCCAACAGCTGCATCAGATAAAGCTAAGTTTGAGTTCTGCTTCTTCCATTCACCAACTCTGTGACTAGTTAAACCAAACCTTATATTCCTGAGCTGTAAAATAATAACATCCCTTAACTTTGGGAATTCTAAGTAACAAGAAAATGTATTAAGGAGTTAACACAGTGCTTGGCACAGTTGACCGCTTAAAAGTCGTGGATGCGTAGCCTTAAAATAAGCCATTTCTTCGTAAGCTGCAGTCCTTTCATTCACAAAACAAAGCTTTTCAGAGCTACGAAGTATGGCTATCTTGAGGTCAGCAAAAACATTGCAGAAGTGTTTGCTGAACACTTAGATACCTACTATACAATAAATTGCATTTGTTAACATTTTGGAGGTATTATTAGAGTACTATAGTCCC